AGGGTGACAGGGCTGAGAGTGCAGCTTATGAATCACCCTGCGTGCTCTTTGCCCCAAGGGAGCCACTCACACATTCCCAAGGGAGCCAGTGCCTGGGAGACATGACGTCGTCGTCACTGGGAGAGGAGTTTCATCCACATGTGGCCTCAGAAAAGCTTGTTCCCATGGGTAACACCCAAGCTTCTCAGGGCAAGGAGACAGGGCTGTGAACTCCCTGCGTACATGTGTATGTGTATGTATGTCTTAAAGGATGTGTCTCATCCATTCTGGAGCCTCGTTATTATCTCCTGCCTCTGATTCCTTCCAGGATGGCAAGAGCTCTCAGCAGCTCTTTCATGGGGGAAGAGGCAGCTCTGTGTCAGATAGGATGCCAGTCTGTAGCGATCCCAACATTTTTCTCAAAGATACTCCTTCCACAAAGTCCTGCTCCAAACCTATGATTTGCGTGAGACATTCCCTGTCCAACCACAACGTCTGCTCATCTGGCTTGCACCCATGTATCATGTGGTCAGACGGGGCTGGCCGCCCTTAATTGATTTCAGAAAGACAGGGGCAGCCTGCACAGCCTGCCGAATAGCTACAGGCATCAGCCTTCAGCTCTGATATTTTTGCCAGTGACACTGGCCTAGGAGGCTCTCCTACTGCCCTGATAATTCAGCAGCGTCTCCTCACTGTATTTTTCTTATAAACCTGATAAACACTCAAAGCAAACCAAACTATCAAAGTAACCTTTTGCTCCTCGCTCTTTCCAGTCATGGGTGAATAATTAAGTCAATCTTTTACATTTCTTTAAAGTATTTTTCTTCACCTGTGATGCTCCACTATTAAAAAGCCCATAGTCTGTTCCTAACTTCCCAACTTAGCAAAAGGCATGAAAACCTTTCAAATATCACATCTCCACTGATAACCAAGCCAAGGAGAGGAGGAATCTAGCGCAGACCTCCATAACAAATACAAAACTGGGGAGCTGAGATACGGCTCATGATGGCAGATTCATGAGGGTTGGTATCGTGACATCGGAATCAAGGATGTGATCGGGTGAGGGAAGCTGATCCATCTGTATTTGCTATAGAACCAATTTTCAGTACGCACTAGTATACGCTACTTAACAAGCCTTTCTTAAAATAATAAGACATAGTTCCAAGCTTATATTGGTAAACTGTCTTTTGTTGAGTCCATGAGTTACAAGTGTGGCTCCATGCTCTGAGCCCCCGTGGGTACCTGTGCAGGTCCATCCTGGCCCAGACGTGGCCATTTCTAATATACTCCTCATTTCCTCTTTTTCTCTGCACATGTTCCCAACATTAGAGGCTGCACAGTTCTTCCAAAGCAGCAGAGGATGTTTGTGGACTGAGTGCTAAGCTCATACCCAGGAACTAGGCTTGGTTTGGTTTGCCCCACCCAGCCCCAGGGAGAGGAGCGGATAGGAAGGCCAGGCTGTGGGCATGGTAGACAGCGCTGTGCGTACATAGGAGGCACCGTGTACCGTGGCAGTCCCGGGGTCATGGAGAGTCACCCGAATCACATTTGGAAAATACTTTCCTTTTTCTTAATCACAGACATTTTGCTTTCTCTTTCCTTCTACACTTTTTCTGAAAATGAAAAAAATGTGTGCCAAGCAAATTGCCTTGGGCAAGGGAGAGGGGATGGGTGGAGCTCCCAAGGACACTTTACTGACCAAGCCTCCTTCGTGGAGAGCTGCCTGTCCCAGCGCTGCTGTTTTCGAGGCTGTTTTCTAGTTTATCCTGTCTCGTGACAGATAGGAAACACTGGCCAGGTTCCTCATTTTCCAAGTCTGCTACTTTCTGACAAGCTTTAAGGGATTACGGTGGGTTTCTTCCCCCTCCTGCTTGCTGTCACCTGGACATTACCATGGGGATAATCCTCCCTGAAACAAAAATAAAGGGCAGAACCGGTTGGACAGAAAGTGTGACCCAAAACTCCGAGATTGAGAGGCTAGGGACGTGGAGGCTATAAGAGCTCCTTATGGGTCAGGTCCAGAGGAGGGAGAGGTAGAAGATGAAGGGGGGTCCCGAGGTGGGGGACAGCACAGATTAAATCCTGCTGGATTGTGCTTTAGGGGAGAGCTTGAGTTTGGGTCTTTTATGGGTGCTGAGGGATGCTTTTCTTCCTGCAACCAACTGTCCTGTCTGGAGAGGTAGATTCTTCAAAGGTGGAGCCCTCAAGACAGGTGGAGCAGCAGGTTCATAATCCGCCAGTGGAAGATGGGTGTATGAGGAAGATGGGTGTATGAGGAAGCGGGCAGGCAGAGGATTATAATCTGCTCTGCAAAGTTTTGTGAGCTCTGCAGTGGTTGAGCGTTTTGGCTTCTTGAAACCGCTGAGGTTTAGGAAGGTGATTTTTTACTATGTCAGCACCAACTGGGAAACTAGTTTTGGAGTTGAGGACATGAGGACCTCCCATAGCTCCAGGAAGAGGACTGGGTTTTATTCTCTGCTGAAAAATGCGCTAGGCTTCTGAGGAGAGGTGGGTCCACCTTTGGTGAGCTATCAGGAGTCACTTTTTTGCTTTCTGTTTTGAAAGTCCTCTGTGACTGGCTCTGGCACTCACCTTCATCTAAGCACAGGGTGAAGCTGAGGCAAGAGGATCAGAGGATCGAAGGTTTGAGCCCAGCCCAGGCAATTTAGAAGCTTGGCAAGACTGTGGCTCAAAAAGCAAATGAGTGAAGCCCCCTACTCCTGGTTCCATTTCTCCATTACAGAGGAAGGAAACAAACTCTTTGATAGATCTGAAGGATTGTCACATTCTAAGAGAAAATGCTGCTGGCTCATGGAATCATCTCTGAGTTGAATGAGGACAATGATCTCAGTTTTAGGTCCAAAGAGTGTTTGCACTGCTTGCTGTTTCTCCGCAGATTCCCAACAAGAAAGAGACAAAAGAGGAGTGAAAAGAAACCAGGCTGAGATCCATGTAGGGTGGTTTTGCATGCAACCTCCCCGGGGGTAGGGAGGTGGTTTGGCAACCTGGCTGAACTTTTAAATTCTTCCTGACCCTCAAGTATGAGACCTTTACCTTGCTGGGTGACACACATAGATGAGGCAGGAGCTCATCTTTCACCTGTCAGGTATGCAGTGGGTACCTGTTAAGTGCTGGGGGCACTTGGGAAGAACAGAACAGAAAGTCTTTGCTCTCCATCACTAGTGAAAAGTGAGGCTCTGAAAGAACACATAGATCAGGAAGTGCTACAAGCTGTGAAAACCATCAAGGGGTAAAGGGATGGAGAGCAGTGGGGGTGGACATTCAGGGTGTGGCCAGGAAAGGTTTTTCTGGGAGGTGATGTTTGAACAGAGAGCTGGCAGAGGCCTAGGGGAGGAATGTTCTAGGCCAGGGTTCAGCAGACACTGGCCCCGGAGCCAAACCCTGCCAGCCTGTGTTGTTCTAAAGGAGTTTCACAGGAGCTCAGCCATGCCCTCAGCTTGCTCATCGTCTGGGGCTGCATTTTTGGGACTGTGGCAAAGCTGAGGATTGGTGACTCCGGTGGGTCTGACCCACTGAATCTCAGGGGCACTGGACCCTTGAAAGAGAAAGTTCGCTATCTCCTATGTGAGCAGGAGCAGTGTCCTCTCAGATCGCCTCTTCTAGGGGCACGGACACTTACGTTGTCCCACCTCATGGGCCCAGCAGCAGCAGGAAACTCTTCAGTAAGCGTCTTCCTCATGCCAGGGGATTCACCTGTGTGGACTCCAGGTGTGGAGTTTCTGTACATTAGGATGAGTACATGAGTGAGCAGAAACCTTCAACAGGCAATTTTAATCAGATTGTAGAACCTGCCTCAGCCTATCCTGCCCTACATCTCCACAGGGACAAATGTGGCTTAGTGGCATTGGGGGGACTTACCCTACTCTGCTTATTGCTTCTCAGAGATTCCACTATATTGTCAGAGGAACCATGTTCACACAAGCACCTCAAAAGCTGTAAAGGCCTGGTATGAATGACGATCCTAACCTCACTTGTCCATAGTACAGATTTTTGGATATTTCATTTATTTTCATATTCCCACAAGGTCTCATGTCTAGACTCGAAGCTTCCTAAGCTCCTGATCTATGTCTCACTCATCCTCTATTACCAGGACCTGTGAAGTGTTGACCTCTAATTAAGGGACAGTGCAGATCCTTTCTGAATAAAGGATACTGCTACCTGCAAAGTGTTCCCTAAGCAAAATAAAAACTTACGATGCTAAAAAAATCATGTACATTCTACAGCTGAACAGAATGAGTCTGGGTGTTATTTTGTTATTTTCTTTCCTCTGCTTCCAGAGGGGAGTGATCACACTTAACAGACAGAGCATCTTGCAGGCGGTCCTGGCATGTTACTGTGCTGAGCAGGTCTCTGGCTGTCAGGACCGCAGAGAGCAGGAATAGGGTACATCATTCCACATTCTTACCTGTGCGCTTGTGCATCCTGTGTCTTTCTTAACATCCCAGGCCCTGCTATGAGAAGAGAGTTAGCTCTTCCACAAAGCAACCTCAGCCTTCAGAGGTTTTTCTGCTAATTGTATAGTTTACTGGGCCTTGAACCTGAACCACACATCACCCTGTAGCATGTCTTTTAGCTTTTGCTGAAGGCCAGATTCTCTGAGGTCAGATTCGGCTCACTATTTAACTAGTTCCTGGAGGGCCAGCTCTGGGCTTATAAGTTGGTAGCCGAATAACTGTAACTAGTCATGTCAGTGTCTCTCACACGCTGACATTGATTGGGTTCTAAAAAAAATAAAAATAAAAAAGGGTCGCACAGAGCTGAGTTAGCTTCCTTAAGTAGAAAGTACCATGTTAAGGATTTGGAGTTGGATGGACCCAGTTATACCCTGAAGTTCATATTAGTTTCATTTGCTCCCCATCAGTCCTACAAGTTTCCACTACAAGTTTCCAATCTAAAACTCCCACCAAGATGCCTGAAGGTGGAGCCGTCAAGACAGGACCAGAGGACGGAGAGAAGGTAGCACTGATTGCTTGGGGATCCTTTCTGTTGATGATTCAAGAAATTTCTTGGATGAGCTGGGACTCCAAGGAGCTAGGCACTGGTCCCTGAAACAGACAGGTATGTTGAACAGCGCTGACACGAAATCTTCAAAATGAGACTTTCCTTCTTTATAATGTGTCTATTTAATTGACAGTCTTACCTTTGCATGAACCAGGAAGTTTGACAGTTTAACTTCCTGGTGATCTCAGGAGAAGATGGTGAAGAGTGAAAATGCCAAGTAGGAGAGAGAGAGTTGGGAAGGAAACATCCCAGGAAAACCTGGTGACAGCCACCCAAGGAGCCTCTGGTGGTGGTTCTCCAGGGCCTCCCCTGGAGAGGGCTGGGGGCCATAGTGGTGACAGAGTTGGCTTTGCTTCCGTCGGCTGGGTGGCTGCCAGTGCGGGATTTAATTATTTCATTTGCGTAGCTTCGCTGCTGCAGATTTTTAAATGTTGAAAGCCACCCATTTATAAGCCTTGGCCTCATATTCTGAGTATTAGGGCAGTGACATATTGATATGCACACGCTAGAGTTGGACAAAATGAATGCCAGAGGAGGCCAGTCTTGGGGACGGACACACAGCCTTTCCTTCTGGGCTGCGGTTTCCCTGTGGGTAAGGTGGAAGGAAGGAAGAGATCTGACAAGGTCCTTCTAAGACTTACAGGCATTTCTGAATGAGCCCCCCACCCACCTTCCCAGGATCACCCATAATCCTCCTCTCTCTGGCTCCTACACAGCTATGATAAGAAGATGTCCTCTGTCCTCAAGCTCTGCTACGCAGGGAACAACCCCAGGCAGAGGGCCTGGAATGCAGGTTGTTTCTGAATACTCTCGCTTGTGACTTCCAGAAACGCTCACACCTCTTGCTTCCCACGTAGCAGAGCTCAGACCGCTGCTGTGTATGGAGCCCTGTGGAGTGATGGCATTTGGGTTCAAGAGAACCAGAATACAGGCTGCCCCGTGGGACGTGAAACCATGGTTCTGGAGCAGGGCAAGAACTACTTCTCTGTTCCAAGTGTTCCCAAACTGAGTCCAGTTTTTAGTATTTAAACCTATTTACATTTTTTTAAAATCAAAATGATTTAAAAGCAGTGGTTTTATACAGAGGAGATGGGGGAGCTTCCCCAACCAGCAAACCCCACAACATCGGACAATGTCTAGAGATAATATGGGTTGTCACAACTAAAGGAGGTGATGAACGATGCCCCCAGCATCTAGTGAGCAGGGGTGGTCAGGGACCCACTTAAATCCTATAGTGCACAGGATAAGCCCCCAGCACCCAGCATAATCTGGTCCAATGTGCCCAGTGGGCTGAGGCTGAGAAACACTATTTTTAAATGAAATTTAATGAGCCAGTATCACTTTTTGTGCAGTGAAAACAAATGTGCAAATAGTGCAATGAAATCAAAACAGTGTTCATAAGGTGCACAGAGTGTTGTCTCCCTGGCTTCTGAGCCTGGGGTTATCTTTCTTTTTCTGATGAAGGGAAATTAGCTCCTGGAGAGAGTTAGAGACACAGATGCACTGAAAGGGGGCTTTCTCCTGAAGTGGAATCAGTAAGATGAATAGAGGATGCAAGCGGGGGGGGGGGGCATTTCTTTCTCCTGCTGTGATTCTGTGCTGTTTGGTGCTGTGTCTGTCCTATCCCTACAGCCAGACTCATTGCCTTGGTGATGTTCCCCACCCCAAACTCTGAGAAGCATTGTCTGAGTGTTCTAAGCTCAAGTCTCCATTGCTAAGTGTCACTGCCTTGCAGGGTCCCTACCTCTCTGGTTCCATGAGTCCCCAGAGCTAATCATTAGACATAGATGGGAACCCATTCTCTCTTTTTTCACAGGTAGTTAATAATAATAATAATAATAATAATAATAATGATAGCCCCCTTTGGGCACAGGCTTTTTCATCTTCAAAGTGCTTTATAAACATGAGCTAATCTTCCTGTTCCCTGGTGAGGTCAGAAGTCCTGTATTTTACTGGATGGAGCCACCAAGGCCGGAGAATCAAGTGAGTCACCAGCAACCCTGGCTGGGAGTCAGGTGGGGTTGGGGTTGGGATTCAAGTTTACTGTTGCTGGACTCCTGGACATGTCCTTCACTGGGCCACACCTTTCTCCTGGCCAACCCTGTCTTGGTATTGGTGCCAAACCTCAAATTCAGGCGGGGCTGGTTTGTGTGTGTGTGTGTGTGTGTGTGTGTGTGCGCGCGTGGAGCTGTGTGTGTGACATTTCTTTTCCCTTTTTTCCTGTAGACTGCTCTTATAAGAGGTACTAAATACAGCCCCTTCTCTTAGTTTTTGTTTGTTTCCTGATTTCTCCTATGGTATGTAACCCTCCCAGCCCCGAGCTAGGGAGTTACTTTCAGAAAATATTTTTCCTGTGGACCTCCACTCCCAGGATGGTGTAGGAGCAGAACAGCAGCAATGTGGCCTTTCTTTCACAGGTTTGTTTGAAGATGTCTGTGGTAGCAGGGTCAGAGCCATAAGGACCGAGGGTGTCTGGCCACAGGCCGTGACTGCTGCAACGGGGACCACCCTGGTGCAGTCCTCCCCCTTGCGTGCCTGCAGGCTGCGGGAACTGCATTTGTGCTTACCGCTGTGGTGAGGTGCCCAGGAGAACTGAGTGCTGGGCCTGGGAGGCAGCCTTCGCTGGGTGACAGCAGCTATGTCATACCGGTTTCCAACGATGAAAACAAGAGCAATAATAATAAAGTCAAATCTTCAGGGTTCAAGTGACACTTAAACCTGCCTGAGGACACCTCAAGTCTCTGACTCTTGTGGCTCTGGGGAGATGATTCCATCGCAGGTGTGTGGGGTCCCGTGGCCTTTCACTTACTCTCTGCCGCAAGGTGGGATTGAACAAAGTAGAAAATGCATTTACGTCAGAGAGTGAGGGATGAGAAGAGCGTGGGGTTTCTCAGGTGTATGGCCAGGTGGTGGGTGAAGGAACTCTTGGTGGCAGAGACCCCTACGTGCCTGGTAGAAGGCATTGGAATTCTGAGCTGCTTTAAATCTCATCTGTGGTGCCATGGACAGCCTCAGCTCACTGCTGTGTATTCCTCTGAAGCCTTGGCTTTTTTGTCTTGGTCAGTGTGGGTGCTGTAAGAACAATACCATAGCTGAGCGTCTTAAATAGCAAATACACTCCTCTGGTGCTGGAGGCCAGGAAGTCCAAGGTCAGAGTGTCAGCGTGGTTGGCTTCCTTCTTGATTTACCAGCACCTGACTTCTTGCTCACTAGACTGTGGGGAGGGTGTGGGAGAGTTTATGGGCACTCATCCCATCGTCAGGCTCTATGCGCACGACCTAATTACTTCCCAAAGGCCCCAACTCTAAATACTATTATGCTGGGGGTTAGCATTTTATCATAGGTGCTTTGGGGGTCCATGATATCTTTCTGTGGGATCACAGGGTGCAACAGTGAGGTTGTAAAACACCAGGAATAGATGGAGAGAGATGCGATTCAGGACAATCAGCTACTCAAGACCCATGAGCAGTAGCAGAGTGTAGACAAGACTCTTGCCCTGCCAATGAACCTGACCACCCACGGCTTGTGGATGTGTGGAGCAACGGTGCGAGCAGAACCTAGCGGGGTGAGCTGTCGAGGGGCTGTCAAGGGGGCTTCTGGCCCAGGGCCCCCAGAGCTGGTGTGACATTGGGAACTTGGGTTTCAGTTGTCCCCAGCTCACTGTCTGGCTACAGCTGCAAGCAGCTCGCTTGTCCCATAAAGGTCAAAGCTGGTTGTTTGAACAGTCCACAGCAGCCTGCCTGTCATCTCACCCCTGTTACTCAGGGATCCAGTTCTCCAGAAAGCAGAAGGGTGACTCCATTGTGGCATCATTCCTCCTGACATTTCAGTTATTTTTTCAGGCTTCCTCGTTGCCATGGTTTCTAGCTAAATGCTGGTGAATGATAGGAGATAAAATGCGGTGAAGGCCAGGGTGAGGGTTCAGATGGAAATGAAAACACCCCAATCGAGGCCTAGGACCCTGGCTGACATCTCCCAGACCCCTCCTTTCTCCTTTGTGAGCAGATTTTTCCTGCCTGCCATCCTGCCCTCACCTCCTCTGCTTATTTTCCCTTATCCCACGGAACCCATCCACTCTCCAAATCACAGATGCTGGTGTGATAGCTCAGGAGGACCACCTCTCCTGTTTGCTTCTGCCTCATCCTTACCTTGACCCTTTTCAGACACTGTTTAAGTCCATGTGCTCATGGTTCTGGGGATCAAACCCTGGACCTCAGTCATTGGAAGAAGCTCTCTGCCACCAGGCTGCCTACTCAGCTGAACGGTAGGTTCTTGATTTTGAACTTGTCACCCCACCTCTCCGGTAGTTGTCACCCCATTCTTCCACATGTCTTGGGTTGCGGTTCCTTCCCCAGCTGGGCCCAGGGAGTTGTTTGTGGAGCTGACTAAGTGGACACCAGACCTCATTCCCTGTCTCTCCTCTGATCCTCTCCCTCGCTGTCTTGAACAACTTAGCCTAAACTTGTCTCAGCTTAAAGCTTTTCTTGGACATTGATACTTCATTGTTTCTTTCCTCGTACAAGAGAGGAAGGGGCTTCTGCGAATTCTCTACCTTATTTGAACAGCTCATCTGTTCGTTCCTCTTGGCAACCTGACTGCAGCTGTTAAAGCTATGAGGCTTGATTCTCCATATCCCTTACCTTTTCTCCTCCTCTTCTGATGCTCCTGGCTGTTCATTTCAGAATCTTACGTTCTGCCTTCCTCAGCAGGGATGAGCCTAGGCCAATGAAAATGAACCTTTCAGGGCTTTCAGTGGTACGAACGGTTCACTGCTGCATGTGTGCCATAGGTTTGCCTTGGACTAGGCTCTCGGGCTCTAGATTTAAATCCCTACCTTGGTTTTACCAACACATCTCTTGAAAACCACTCTCAAACACACATCTGTACCCTTGTGATTTCTTCAGAGTCAGCTCTGTGGAGCTCTTCTTGCCTAACTCCTCAAGCTCATGACCCTGGAAGTCCAGGGTCCTCTTGTCCTCTTGCTCCAGCCTGGGCTCTGCTCTGCGTTTCCACATTTCTCATCAGTGTGAAGTCATGGGGCCGGATATCAACACCAA